GTCCTATCTTCTCTTCCACCATCCACCCCTAACTGTCCTTGAATTAGAGGAAATGTAAATGTAATGAAGGTAAAGTTATGATCTTATTAACTGAGCCAGAGAGTGTGTTACAACAATTTTCACAAATTGACCAAATTCAATTTTCTCTTTATGCTTTATGCACAATAAGTAAATTATAGCTTCAAGGAAAAGGGAAGATATGTATCATAGATCAAAGCATATACTATTTATCTAAGAGATTGTTTAGTCTAATACTGTAACTTAAAAGATGCAGCAACTGAGGTCCAAAACCACAGATTTATGTGCAGAGTTGAGTCCATGGACTTATGACTCTTTTTTTGTCCCCAGAGCTCTTCCTGCTGTACCATGCTGTCTCATCAAATGGAAGATTATGGGAAAGTGCTTGTAACCTAGAAAATGCTTTACAAATTTAAAATAGTATCTTTAATTCTTATCTTAATTACATATGTTTTAAGATGAAGAATAATGACAAAAGTAGTATCTGTAAACATTGTTATCTGTGCTAAGTGATCAGAATCAATATTTAATATGTATGTGTGTAATCATAAGAGAATAAAAAGAATTATTTTTTCTTCAAACAGATCGTTCATAAAAAAATATCTACTATGCTGGTAATAATGTGAGGAAACGGGACCTCTTGTATATTGTTGGCAGGAGGGTAAATCAAAACAGCTTTGGAGAACAATTTGGCAATAATTATTAAAGTGGAAGACATATATAGTTCACAACCTAAAACTTGCACTTCTAGGCTTATATCCTAGAGAAATATTCCCATATGGGTGCAAGACATATCCATTGCAGCATGGTTTCCAACAAAAAATTGGAAACAACCTAATTATCGACTTATGGATATAGGAAAGAATTATCAAATTGTGTTATACAAGGTAGTATAATGGACAATTAAAAAAGAGTGAACTATATTTGAATGTATCAATATGGATGAATCTCAAAAACATAATGTAAAAATTCTTAAAAAGAGTAGTATGATATCACACCGGTTCAATACATCTTAAAACACAAAAATTTTAAAAAACACAAAAATCAATTCTGCATGTTGTTTGTGTATAAATACACACATAATTTTAAAAAGACACAGTAATGATACACACTGGTTTTAGGATTAGTGGTCATCTTTCATTTGTGGAATAAAAAGGATATTATTGTTAGTCATAATATTAATGTTTCACAGATACAAATGTTTTTCAGATACAATTTTTTTAAACTGTGGATTAAGTGTAGCAAAATGTAGCCCTGAATATTGATCCACAAGTTTTTCTCAGTATTTCCTGCTGTTCCCTTTTATTGCTTCCTGCTCTATCTGAACTATTTTATAATTAATCTTGCTAATGTATTACACTACCAAAATGATGCTACCAAACTTGATTTCTGAATAGAAATGTCATTTTTCAATAAGTAATTTTATATATAATAGTAAATGAGGTGTTTTTCTAATTAGTCTGATTCCATTTGGCTGGTTATAAAATATATTGGTCCAAAGCAGATGAGCTTTGAAACTAGACCGCTTTGATTTAGTTGCTGTCTCTGGTATTTATAGGCTGTATGACCTTGGGTAAATCATTTAACTTTCTCTGTGACTCAGTATCATCAACTGTAAGACAACGATTATAATTGTAGCACCTATCTTACAGATTTGTTATGATGATTAAAAAAACTAATATATGAAAAATCACCTGAACTCATGTTTGATAAATGTTAGATATTATTATGTCCTGGCAAAAAAAGAGGACTAATTATTCATCAATATTTTATCCTGAATTATCTTATTTATAGGTCTATGCTGGTCAAATGCATCAAATAATCACTCATTTCTTAAATTCTCTGAGTTTGAGGACTAACCACTTAACTAAAGATCCTTAATTATTAGAGTTTTAGTAAATAAGTTTCATTAATTAGTATGTTTAAACAGATTGCGTCCCAATCATGTAACAGATTACTTGTGGTCAAAACTAGCTGATGATCTGGAAAGGGCAGCACGGTCTACCCAAATTTTATTTAAGTAAACATCAGCTATTTTGCACATTGTCATATGTGTTGACCAGTTACCCAACAATTTCTCATCTTTCATATGTGTTTGTGTTAAATCTGCAACTAGAATAATTTGTCAAGGAATGAGGATTTTTCTAGTTTATTCAGGATTTGAGATTATGTCTTCAATTCTTTCTCTTTCTTTTTTTACTTTTCTTTTTTAAAGTTCTCGACTTTCTCATCAGAAATGAAAATGTTAAATTCACCATCCTCACTAAGGATTTATGGTACAGATCATTGTGACCATTAAAGCAGGTTTAACAGTCAGGTGTTTTTCTTTCTCTTTTTCTTTCTTCTTTTTTTTTTTTTTCTAGAGAGATTGGAATTTAATTGTTTCCTTTTTAGACAAATATGCTTTTGGATTGTCAGTGATGAAAGGGGCATACAGATGTCAAAAGCACTGTAGCACAGTGGGATTATGTGCTAAGGTCCATGGCGGGACAGACAAACAAGCAAAGTCTCAGATCAGTCAAACAGTTACCTTTTAATAAAATCTCAGATGACCAACTTTGTTTTATCTTTGCCAATGCCTATCAAAAGTTCAAATGAAGTTTTGTTGTGTTAACTGCTTACATTTCTTTTATTTCTTATTTTAACCATTTGTAAAAATAAAAGAATTTCGCTAGATGGAATTGGGAATTTGTTTAAAGGCAAGCCAATTTAAAATAAAACAACACATGTTATACACATGGCTTTTTTCTTATTAAAACAAAATAAATTGGACTTTAAATAGAAGCCTTAATTATGTTATGTGATGAGAACTATACTTAAGTATTATTTTCTGGACATGGCAGTAATAATCTGTTTCATACTGCATTTCACTGATAACATGAAAGCAAAAAATAATAATTGAATTTTAATTTTCAAATCACTTGAAGGAAAAATTAGATTGCCTATTTTGAAGAAGTAAAAAATAAAACTCACACAGCGCATAACCACCATTTTGAGGACCAGAATAATTATTCGTAAGCACTCCACTGGTTATTTATTCACCTTATATGAACTTTCCTTGATCAAAGGCTTTAGGTGCATTTATAACAAACTGTGATTCTTTCTGTAATGCAATACCTTGAGGACTCACAATTTAGAGCAGAGGTCGCAAACTGACAGCCCATGGGCTAGATCCTGACCCCAGATGGATTTTGTTTTGCCTGCGCAGTGTTGCTTTTTTTTTCTGTTTTGCTTTTTATGGAGTTAGTTGCCAACATTTAAGAATTGGAGAATTTCATGTAAAAATCTTAATTCCCAGCTTCTTTTAAAAAGTCGGATCTTAACAACACTGAGCCTGCATTCACACATGGTAATAATCAGCCAAACAGTAATAGCCACCACTTTGGAAAAGAATATATGCTCCCTAGTTCACCATAGTCCCCACCACTCTATATCGCTTATAGTCTTTCATTTGTGTTACCAGCCTTGCCTCAGTAGGCATTAGAGTTTGCGACTCTCCTGGTTTCTCTATAGTTTATGTGAACGACTTGGTACACATATTTTCAATAACACTTCATGGTTTTTCTCTGATTGCAATAAGTGTAAAAATAGTATTATATATATGTACATATGAAATGTATATTTTGACAATCCAGAAGTAAATCCATATAAACTACTGTTATACTTAATGAACAAAAAACTTGACTTAATTTGCTTGTCATTTTACTAGAAAATCAAAAATAAAGTGAAAGCCATTTTCAATGCCTAAATTCAATTGCATTCATATCAAATCGGAAACACTTTCCATATCCAAGCCTAGACTCAAAACTTAATCCATTTACTATTTTACAGTTAAACTCAGTCATTAATAAAATCTAGTGGGTTTTAGTCTTCCCAGCATTGATATCATTGTCTAATAGAAAGTTTGGCACTTAAGGAGGCACATCCACTGCTTCAGGTCACTTGGGTATTATTTAGTGTGCATAACATGTAAAACTAACTTTTAATATAGAAAATGTCACAGATACTAGAAACACCACCATAGTGATGTTTTATTTTGTATGTTGAAAACCCAGGATAAATCCATGGTGTAGTCCTCATCTCCCCTACAGCTCTATGATATTTTTCTTGTAGAAAATATGGATAAAGCCTGCATCAAGGGCAGCCCTAAAGAAAGGGGCAAAAAATATCACCAAAAGGTAATGTAACCCGAGAAAGAAGTGTGGAAGAGAAGTGGGGCACTACTGACAGGAACTATCAAAATATATTTTAGGAACATGAGTTCCCCTACTTTGCCCTTGTCTCTGAGTCACTGTGTGTTCTTTTCACCACTACAAATTAAAATGTCTGAGGCCTGGAACAATATGTTATCTCTGATTGCCCTTTTACTAAGATTTTCATAGATATTTTAAGAGGTTTCACGTATAAATCTTCTTAGACTTCCAAATATTTATTTAAAATATATTATTAGAAGAAAAGGATTTTAAAGGTTTTAGAACTTCTAACATGCCTACAACACATATCTGTGCCTAATGCTTAGAATGACCTAAAAGATTAGAAAGCCAGATTCTTTTCCATTATCATTGTAGCACACTTAATAGCCTGTGCTGCCCTGCAAAAGTGAATGTACCTTCCTAAGCATTCCAGAACAAAGGGGCGGGTGGACATCTGAATAATTTCTCCATTATTTTACATAGGTATCCTAGTTTTTGTGTCAGTGATGTTCACTCAACCCCAACCAACTTTGCAGCCTTTCTCTAACTTCTGCTTTAGAACCTCCAACTGGATGGATGGGTTGTAATTCACTCTTTGGATTTCATTTTTTCTTATGAACTGAGGATTAAGCAAGATTCAGCATTTGCTGCTGAAAATTTTAAATGGCTCTACTTTCCTACCTCAGTGAGTACAGTACAGGGAACAAGATTATGAAAGTGTGGCTGAATCTGTACAGGCTCCAGGACATTCTCAGGAATTTGATTTTTAAAAAATAAATACATAAATACCTGTTAACAGCTTGTTTTCTTGTCATTTGCCTCTTCCTTCTAAAAGGAGAGTGTAGCAGAAAATAAATAAATAAAACTGGTTAATTGAGAGTTCTGGTTAGTTAGCTTCCAATTAATCAAGGCTTTATTATATTTCATAAAACATCTTCCTAAATTCTGCAGAAATTTTAGATAGGTTACACACAATGAAACACCAGCAGGGAAGAGCACATAGAAGGTAAGGAAGCCTGAATTGCTATTAGTGTTTTAAATATATGAATAATGTTAGCACATTTCTAGTATAATCCCCAATGACTAAAGAATAAGGTGAAATGTCATGTGGTTTAGGGCTTTTCCATATATAAAGGCAAGGAAATAAGGTTATAGATTTCTGTTGAAGAAAGTGGCCTTGGGTCGTAACAATTCCCAAAAAAATTCAGCAATATTGTATCTCTTCCCTCTCTCTCAAGAGCCTTCCTTCCCATCCCATTAGGTATTCCAACATTTTGGAGGGAAATATCCCGTTCTAATTTTTTCTCATCTTTTATTTGGCCAACAAGATGATGAAAGTAAGCCAATATCAATGTTGTGCTTATTTCCTAAACATGGAGCCATTGATCTCCAACAGATCACTATATACATTTTTCTGGAGCATACGGAATTATCTTACATCTTCCTCACAAGGGTTACACATGCGCATTCACACACACAGTCACACACACACACACACACACACACAGTCATACATCCACACAAAAGAAATTAAACACATACAAAAGAGATCCATTTTAAAAAATACATAATTAGCCTTGTTAACAAAATAATTATTCTTTCCAGCAGTGCAGTAACCCCCAGTGTTCTCCAATCCTTTAATAAAGAACAATGAAATCTCAAAAGACATGCAAAAAAAACTATGAGGACTATAATGTGGTTCTTTTAACCCTTACTGTACTTCTTAGTAATACAGAAACGGGAACCTTCCCACAAGGCTCACTACAAATATATGTGGTTAGTTCATCATCTTTTTGTTGAACAAAAACAAAAATATTATCTTTTTGTTTCTGTTTTTTTTTTTTTTTTTTTTTGCTTTTGAAAAACGGCCGCTTCTCTGCTCAAAGTCTGTAGAGAGATTTCTAAAAAAAAAAAAAATGAAAATATATCTGGGGTTGCTGGGGAGAGGAGGTAAGAGTGAAGCTGAGCCTTTTTTCACCTACTCTTACATTCTGTCACTTCACTGTCAGAACTATTTGGTTTTGCTTTACAACTCACTCACCCAACCTCTTCTGAGGTGACACTTTTCTTAAATAAAATATAATCATACACACCAAGTCAGTGATAATGCATCCTTCCTTATTATAATGGGCTATATATGACTGGATTTGAGGGCATTTTTTCAATTTTACCAAAGATCCCTCATTTTTTTAAAAAAATAAAGCTTTCTAAGCTCAACAAACCTTTTTTGGTCATCACTATACATGTAAATATAATTATACTAATCCTCACCAAAATCAAAATCATTTACATCTCCCATGGCATGAGTTTCATAGGTTAGTTAAATTTAGACTCTGAAATCATTGACTACAGAAACATTGTTAGAATTATTCAATGAATATATAAACATGCATGAGTTAACTGTCCTTTTATTGACAACTTAAAAATTACTTAGAAAATTAGGAGTTTACCTTGATATTTGAAAATTTCTCATTTATCTTTTCCAATGTAAGGAATGTACTTTACAACAGTGCTTAACAAACTAGCTATAACTCTAGGGCTTTAAGGCCTACAAGTTAAATAGATGTATTTCATTTTTGACATTCTAAGTAAAATATGACTTCTATACTTCTGAATTAGTTCTTTTAGTGATGTTAATTAATTCATTTTAGTTTTCCTTATACATTTTTGGAAACTTTATTGAACAAGCAGATGATGATACTAATATTATCAGCTCAGTATAGAATAGGTTATAACGTGAAAAAAAAATCATCTGAGTTCCCTGGAGTTGGCCCAAAATGTTTTGTATTCCTTCTATTTTCCTCTTTGTCTACTAAAGTCTTCTTTTTGCTGCCCCTCCCTACTTCTGATTCTGGCTATGAAACAAAAGTCATGATGAAAAGGCCTGAAATTTACTAAAATGTGTCCTTGTGGCTGATATATACATATGTTCACATTCTTATAAAGTCAGTAACAAAACAGGGGTTACACACAGTCAAGAACGTTGTGGCAGATACAATACACAATATACAACTACCACCAACAGAACTATTAGCAGCTGAGGTTTTGCAACATACGGTGGTAAGTAGTGAGGGTTCTCTATACAACTCACCAGTTCCGATCATCATCATGATTTTACCTCATTAGGACATTGATTAACCTTACTGTAGAGAGAGCCTTCCCCTATGCACAAGTTATGACTAGAAGGTGATTCTACTCTGGCTGAGACCCAAGAAGTTAATAATGGAGAGCTAGCTTTATTTAGAATTAGTCAAGGTCATTTTTACCCTGTACCACTGATAAATAAATTTTCATACTTTGATTCTTCCAACTTTGGGCATGTGAATGTGAAGCTCAACGAAGTTAATGACAGTGATTGCTACCGAGTGTGCTCATCCTTGATTGGAGTCGGTTTAATATAAGAATCAGAGATACGATATTCTCACTTTTGAAACCTAAATTTAGCCCACAGAATCTCATTTAATAATATAGAGAAACAGCATGCAAGACACATGACAAGAGACAACAAAATACCACATAATAGAGAGTCCAGTTAAAATGTCAGGCTCATTTAATTTAAGTATTTAGGTCCTTTTTATGATAAATTTAAAAATCACTATCTAATATCACATATTATGCTCAGCCTCTGGTGTGAAGTAAACTAAAGAGATTGTTCCTTTCACTGATTCTTCAAACGAAGGAAAGTACTTCAAACAAAGCATTTTAAAGATACAGTAAACTTTTGGAAGTATCTACTGCAATGGATTTCAAACTGGATTCTAAAGAACTTCAGTGAAACTACTAATGTATAGTAGAAGGAAAAATAAAGGGAGCAATTCTCTTATATCCTTTCATTAGTGCAGCTCTTCCTTTTCCTATGTGTTATAATGGGGGTGCCTGAACTGCTTTGGTTAACTACCTACCACCATCACCATTTAACAGATGAGGAAATTCTCCCCTGAGATGTTCGATTATTTGGCCAAAGTCACAGAGGAAGTTAGTGTCAGATCTCCCAATATACTGACCTGAATGACAGCTACTACCCCTACATTTTTAATCCTGCTTCCTCTACTGTATGTTAGATAACCACTTTTTTAATATCCTCCCAAAGACTGTCATATCTGTTTTATCCTCATGGGAACATAATAAGGTTGATAAACACTACATACATCTTTAGATAGTTGAAGAGACAAGATTTGTGGCTCCCTTGATCTCTAAGCCAGTGATCTTTCTGTACAGATCAAAAATCAAAACATTTTATGTAAAATCTTAATTTCAATGTGCTTATACACTTTTGGTGGGAATGTAAATTAGTTCAGCTATGGAAAGCACTTTGGGGATTTCTCAAAGAACTTAAAAAAGTACTACCATTTGACCCAGGAATCTCATTACTGGGCACATACCAAAGGAAAATAAATTTTTCTACCAAAAATACAGATGAACTCATATGTTCATCACAGCACTACTCATAATAGCAAAGACATGGAATCAACCTAAGTGCCTATCAACAAGGAATTGGATAAAGAAAATGTGGTACATGTATTCATGGAATATTACACAGCCATAAAAAAGAACAAAATCATGTCCTTTGCAGCAACATGGAAGCAGCTGGAGGCCATTATCCTAAGAGAATTAACACAGGGACAGAAAACCAAATACTGCATCTTCTCACTTACAAGTGGGAGCTAAACACTAGGTACACATGGACATAAAGATAGCAACAATAGACACTGGGGACTACTAGAAGTAGGGGAGAGGAAAGAGGAGCAAGGGCTGAAAAATTGCCTATTAGGTACTATGTTCTCTACCTGAGTGACAGGATCATTCATACCTCAAACCTCAGCAACACGCAATATGCCCACGTAACAAACCTGCACATGTACCTCCGAAATCTAAAATAATGTACCCCCGAATCTTAAATAAAAGTTGAAATTTTTATTAAAAAGAGAGATCTGGCAATACTGGTTCCACACTCTTACTGGTTTGGCATAACCAGATGAAGTAGATTAGCAATGGCTCCCCCATAGAAAAAGTATGCACTCTACTGTTCCCCACAGTTCCCACAATTTTGTATGACCTTATACCTGGCTCTCTTAATGAATTTATGTTATTTCCAAGGTCTCAGGCAGAATATGAATTTTATGGCTGCTATTTTAAGGGTTACAGGTGTAATTTACCCAAATATTAATCAATTTCCCTAAAGAAAGTATGGGATTTCTGAAAACTTCCATGTATGTGTAAGGTATTGACTGAAGGTGTACTAAGAGTGTTAAATCATCTGTCTACCTAAAAAAAGTCATATGTACTTTTATTAATGAAGAAAGACAAGCCTTTGAACTTTGAAGTTTACATCCATATTTATAGAAGAGCACCTAAAGCAAACAGCATCAGATAAAAATAGATTAAATAAGAAACAAACTCTGATTACACTCACAGATACAATATCATTCAGAGTAGAAGCTATATATTTAAAACTCCAAAAGATCAATAAAAATGTTCCCTATGCTTTGAAATGGCAGTCAGCTGTTGACATATACTGCCATATTTGGGGGACTACTAAATTAGGTTTCAGCTGCCCCTTACACAGGTAACATCTTTTTGTCATGCAATTTATTTTTCTGGCCCAATACAATAAATAAAATGTTTATTTTCTAATGAAATGTAATAAATAAATAAAGTATAAGTCAAGCAATGCCTCCCCACCTCCTATCAGACATCATCAGTAGGTGGTAAATTGCCAATAAATATGTGCGGGTAAAACTTTTAAAAGTTATATTTGGAGACATGATCAAATCATGTTAAATGTTGCATTTCCACTGTTGGAACTTTTACAGGTCTTTCCTCACTCT